ATCTCTGAATTTTATTGCAGAGGACCAAACCATCAATGGACACTGATCCACCCTCTGTTCCTTCTCTTTCCTCTTCTCCATCTGCGCAACTCCTTTCTTCACAATGCACCGTTCCTTCGCTACTTGAACGTTTTCCTTTGCCACCGCATGTGGCCTTTTCTAACCCCTCTAGTCCGTAGGTACCCTTACCTGCGGATTTCACGTGTCTTTATCGTTGCCAATCATGGCCTATTTACATTGGAATACTCGCGGCCTCAGGGGTAATCGGGGTGAGCTTCAGATGGTGCTCTCCCAGTTTTCCCCTGTTGGTGTTTGCTTACAGGAACCAAAATTACACTCTGCCGTTAAATATCCTATCTCAGGCTATAATTTATTGTATTCTTCAGATCCTTTTCCTGATGGGACCTTTAATGAAAGTGCCCTTCTTCTACGCACTGATATTCCGGACCATCAGCTATTTGTTTGTACTTCGCTGCATTACACAGCAGCCCATATCCACTTGCATAGGTGGTATACGCTCTGTTCTTTGTATCTCTCTCCTTCTTGGGCATTATCTATCCCAGATATTGCCTTTCTTGTTTCGTCATTACCACCACCAATTCTGTTACTTGGCGATTTTAATGCCCATCATTTCCTCTGGGGGGGGGGTCTCATTGTGATTCCCGAGGCATTCAGTTAGAGGCTTTCCTTGCTACCCACCCCCTCCATGTTTTAAATACAGGTACTCGCACCCATTTTGATCCTCAGACTCGTACTCTCTCTTGCATCGATCTCTCAAGTCTGCTCTTCCTCCGCCGCATTAGACTTCACCTGGTCTATTCTCCCGGATTTACATGACAGCGATCATTTCCCAATCATTCTTACTTCCCATTCATATTCACCACCTCTTAGTAAACCACGTGGCAATTTGATCAGGCAAATTGGAACCTTTATCACAATAACTGTTTTTAGTGAGGTTCCTTCTTCGTCCTCCATTGATGAGCTTTTACACCTCTTTTCGTCCTCCGTTTTAACCGCAGCTTCTCCTTCTATACCCAAACTTTGGGCAGGCATTCTCAGAAATGCGTGCCTTGGTGGTCTCCTGCTTGTGCTTTGTGCAGTACGTTTGAAACGTGCTGTGTGGGGCAGGTTAACAGTACCCAAAAGAACCCACGGAGAGACTTCTTGTTTTTAAAGCAGAAGCGTGCGATCGCTTTGCCGTGTCATCCGAGACGCTAACGTGCTTGCTGGCGAGATTGTCTCCACAATCACCTGCTTCCTCTGAGTGCAGTCTGGAAAAAAGTACGAAAACTGGGGTGGTAAAAATTCTCCTGCCCGGCTCCTGTTCTGCGGGTTGCCGGTGTTGATATAGCAAAACCACTAGATGTTGCCAATGAAACTGGCAATCATCTGGTCCGTATTTCTCAGGGGCTCCATCTATGCCCCTCGTTTCTTTTCCTCAAAGTCAGCCAGAGAGTTAGCCCCCTTGGAATTTTTTCTTCCTTCTCAGAGAAGAACATTAATAATGTGCCTTTTATACCACTTCAGGATCTGGAGGCAACACACTCAAGCTTGCAGATTATCGGGCAGCTGGGCCCGACGACATTTCATATTATGTATGCTACAAGAGTCAGCCCTGGCAGTCCCTATTACGCCTTTTCACTCATTTGGTCACAAGGAGTTTCTTCCACCAGCTGTGAAATCTGCCCATTGTTCTCCCTTTCTGCAAACCGGTACTATGGGACATGAAGCCTCCCACTATGTCCCATTGCTCATATACCAGTGCAGTTTTGCAAAGTGAATGGAACGCCTGTAAATAGACATTATGTGGTATTTGAGAGACGCAACAGTCCCACTTCTCCACACGTATATGGCTTTCATAAGGGCCGTTCTACCATAGACCCCTTACTAACGCTTGATACGTAATGTTCGAAATATGCCTTTGCATATAACCACTCATTATTGCCCATATTTTTTATTACCTTAGAAGCATTGACACAATTGGAGGGTATAAATATTTTGGCCCAAGCCCACATCCTTAGGCCTTCGGAGGCAATCTACCATCCTTCCTAACGAACTTTTAACTGACAACATTTCCATGTTCGGTTAATAATGTGCTCTCTCCCGACTTTATCCAAGCTGAAGGTGTGCCCCATGATGTGTTCTGAGCACAGCACTTTCCCTCCTTGCTATAAATGATTGGCCTCAAGTCTTCCATCCAATATTTGATCAAACACTCCCTATGTTGAAGACTCACTATTGCATGTGCGGCACTGACTGCACCTCATTACAGTTTCTCTCCAACATGGCGGTCGACCGTGTTTCAATTGGGCCACCAACACAATGTGGTTTTAAATTTTCCAGTACCAAAACTCACCAAATTATTTTCTCACTAGATGCTCTGGGTCGTCTCTGATCATCGCTTTTTATCTCTATGGCTCCCGTATCCCCGACGTGATACAGTCAGGTTTCTAGGCCTCCTCTTTGACCGTAGGTTATCCTGGAAACCTCACATTACCTCTCTGAAGGCAACTTGTCACAGCCGGCTGAACCTTCTTAAAACCCTTGCTCATCTTTCATGGGGAGCTGATCGTCGAACTCTCCTTCGCCTACATTCCGCCCTCATTTTATCGAAACTTAATTATGGTGACCAGATCTATTCAGCAGCCTCTCCTGCTACTCTCTAGCCTTAACCCCATTCATCACCAAGGATTACGTTTATGCCTTAGTGCTTTTCACACTTCCCCTGTTGAGAGCCTCTATGCAGAAGCGAATGTTCCATCCTTATCCGATTGCCATGATGCCCATTGCCTTCGCTACTATGTACGCTCTCATGATCTCCGCAATCCTTCCATTTATAGAATGGTCACCGATATTAGTAGACATTCTTTATTTGTTCGCCGCCCCTGTTTGCTCCATCCCTTCTCCCTTCGCCTACATTCGCTCTTATCTTCTCTTCAATTACCACCTCTATGTTCATGTAGCATCTCACTTTTCCCTACCCCCCTGGGAAGTTCTAACTGTTCGAGTCTGTTCTTTCTCACTCCCTTGCTCAAAAGCCCAACTGTCTACGGTAGCTTCCCACTCTCTTTTTCTTGACCACTTCCACTCTCATTCTCATGCCATTGCAGTGTACACAGTTGGCTCTAAGTCTTCTGACGGCGTAGGATTCGCAGCAGTGTTTCCGGACAGCATCGTACGAGGGCATTTACTATCTTCGGCTAGTATTTTTACTGCTGAATTGTATGCCATTCTTGGAGCACTTATCCGTATTGCATCTATGCCTATGTCATCATTTGTGGTTGTCTCTGACTCCCTTAGTGCTTTACAGGCTATACAGAAATTTGATACCTCACCCCTTAGTCCTCCGTATCCAACTTTGGCTACGCCGCATCTCTTCCAAGCATAAATATATTATTTTTTATTGGGTCCCTGGTCATGTTGACGTACAGGGCAACGAACAGGCAGACACTGCTGCGCGGTCAGCAGTACATGACCTACCAGTTTCGTATAGAGGTGTTCCATTTACGGACCATTTTGCTGCAATAGCTACCCACCTTCACACTCGTTTGCAACAGCGTTGGTGTACTCTGCTCGGTAACAAACTTCAGTCTATTAAACCGAGTGTAGGTTACTGGCCGTCTTGTCACCAGTGTTGAGGTTGGGAGACTACTCTCTCCCATCTTCGCATTGGCCATACTCGTCTTACTCATGATTATCTCATGGAGAGGCGCCCTGCTCCTCTGTGAGAATTGTCAGGTTCCATTATTGGTTAGCCACATTCTATTAGACTGCCCACTTTATCAACGAGCACACAGAATATGCCTCCGTCGTCTTCGCTCCACTGCTCTCTGCACCTTCCCTTCTCGCTGATGGACCCACCTTTCATCCGGACACTCTCATTGACTTTTTAACAACTGACTTACTTCACAAACTCTGATGAGACCTTCAGCCCTTTCTACCTCAATCTCTTGCTGCCCTCTGCCCTGTACCCCCTGCCCCGCTGTTTTCTGTAACCTACTGATCATCCCTCCCCCCTTCTACCACCCAATACCCTCGCTTCCTTCCCTACTCTGCAGCGCTGTATAGCCCTTGTGGCTTAGCACTTCTTTTTGATTATAATAATAATAATTGGAGGATGTACAAATCTGTACTGGAGGAGGGGTAGGGGTCATCCTAGGAAAGAATGAAGGGACAGGGGTAAAGAGGTGGTGTGCAAGGGGGCTGGACATGCAGCAGACGTGTGTGTATGTTAGGAGTGAATGGTTTTTGGGACCTGACAAGCTACTGGAGTGAGAGCAGGGTAATATGTTGTGAAGGAATTCAGGGAAACCAGTTAGCTGGAGGTGGGAAGTACAGTGCTTGCACTTTAGAGGGGTTTGGGATATTGGATGTTTGGATTGACATCTAAACTGTCATATGTGGGCACCTCTGCAAAAAGTGATATTGTGTGAAGGATGGTATAAGTGGTTTTCCTTTTTTAGGTCACCCTGCCTCAGTGAGGAGAAAGCAATTTAAGAGTGTTGGCTGTGTGGGGGGGTGTGCGCGTGCAAATTATCCATTTATGAAGGCTCCCTTTAACTTTAAAATATTATTTTGAAGGTTAAGATATTATGTATTATAATAATGAAGAGGAAAGCACTAAACCTGTAGGATTATACAGCACCTGTGGGGGGGATGTGGAAGGCACTCAGGGAACTAGAACACAGCCAATTCCCTGGATCAAGAGCCCCTCATCAGCATCAAGGAACCTTCCTCGAGAGGAAAGGTTAGGATAGAAGTCTATAGAATTATAAAAAACGGAAAAAAATAACCCTACGTGACCCCAGAAATTTAAAAATCTGCTTTCCTTAACTCAATATAAGAATGGGACAAGGTTTATTACATCTGCAAAAATCCTTTAATGAAGCATTGCAATGAATATTCAGAGTAAAGGATAAGAATTTGAACATAGTTAATGAAAGTTTTGGCATTTACCCCATTTGGATATGACCAATGCAGGATTCTAAATCAGATGCAAATACTCTTAAGATATTTTATTTTTTAAATATCTACACCATAACTGTACAAATCAAATAATAAAACCCACATCTTCAGTACTCCATCTCTGGCAGAAGTTAATTCATAAAAATTCAAAATTAAATAAGCTAATTATGCTAAGAGCACAGTAAAATTCCCTTAAAATCTAATTATTGTCAGTTCACATTGCAGTAAGAGCTGAAACTATGTTATTATTGTCCATGATGCCACAGCAGTATTTGAAACATGATTAAAAGGTTTAGCAGTAACTACAGCATCTGGCAATTTTAAAATTTGTGGCATTGAAACCTGTTGAGACATCTGTATGACATTATCTCAACACTACTATTATACATTTGAATATAGAAATACCAGTTACTGGCTAATGCTGTACATCTTAATTTTCATCATCAAACTTGGGAACTGGAGCCCTGTACGTAGAGTAGTCACGAACCGGCGAGTAGAACTGCAAAATATAAAACGTGCACAATATTAAATTTAAAACAAAAAATTAGATTCATGCACAACTTTTTTTTTCTTTAAGCAAGTTATTGAAGAGTGGGTACAGACAAGCCATAGAGATTACCCAAAATGACTATCAATATCTGCCCAATATATCCAATGAAATTTTATTTCTTTTTTGCTGGATGGCCCTCTCAGATTTAGCACTATTTTTTCGTATGTAGTAGGTTGGTAGACAGCAACCATCCAGGGAGGTACTACCGTCCTGCCAAGTGAATGTAAAACAAAAGCCTGTAATTGTTTTACATGATGGTAGGATTGCTGGTGTCTTTTGTCTGTCTCATAAATATGCAAGATTACAGGTATGTCTTGCTACTTCTGCTTACACTTAGGTCACACTACACATACATGTACACGTTTATTTATACACACTCCTCTGAGTTTTCTTTGATTTTATCTTAATAGTTCTTGGTCTTATTACTTTTCCTTTTATATCCATGGGGAAGTGGAATAAGAATCTTTCCTCCGTAAGCCATGCGTGTTGTAAAAGTCAACTAAAATGTCGGGAACAATGGGCTAGTAACCCCTTTTCCTGTAAAGATTACTAAAAAGAATAAGAAGAAGAAAATTGTCAAAGTGGGAAGTCTGAATGTGCATGGATGTTGTGCAAATGATAAGAAAGAGATGAGTGTGGATGTTATGAATGAGAAGAACGCTGTATAGCCCTTGTGGCTTAGCGCTTCTTTTTGATTATAATAATAATAATATGAATGAGAAGCTGGATGTCCTGGTTTTAAGTGAAACGAAGCTGAAGGGGGTGGGAGAGTTTCAATGGAGAGGAATAAATGGGATTAGGTCAGGGGTTTCAAATAGAGTTAGAGCTAAAGAAGGAGTAGCAATAATGTTAAAGGATAAGCTATGGCAGGAAAAGAGGGACTATAAATATATTAATTCAAGGATTATGTGGAGTAAAATAAAGATTGGATGTGAAAAGTGGGTTATAGTAAGCATGTATGCACCTGGAGAAGAAAAGTGTAGAGGAGAGAGAGAGATTTTGGGAAATGTTGAGTGAATGCATGGGGAGTTTTGAATCAAGTGTGAGAGTAATGGTGGTTGGGGATTTCAATGCTAAAGTGGGTAAAAATGTTATGGAGGGAGTAGTAGGTAAATTTGGGGTGCCAGGGGTAAATGTAAATGGGGAGCCTTTAACTGAGCTGTGTAGAAAGAGATTTGGTAATAACAGACATATTTTATGAAAAAGAGGATAAATATACAAGGTATGATGTAGCACATAATGAAAGTAGTTTGTTAGATTATGTATTGGTGGATAAAAGGTTGATGGGTAGGCTCCAGGATGTACATGTTTATAAAGGGGCAACTGATATATCGGATCATTATTTAGTTGCAGCTACAGTTAGAATAAGAGGTAGATGGGAAAAGAGGAAGGTGGCAACAACACGTAAGAGGGAGGTGAAAGTGTATAAACTAAGGGAAGAGGAAGTTCGAGCGAGATACAAGCGACTGTTGGCAGAAAGGTGGGCTAGTGCAAAGATGAGTAGTGGGGAGGTTGAAGAGGGTTGGAATAGTTTTAAACATGCAGTATTAGAATGTGGGGCAGAAGTTTGTGGTTATAGGAGGGTGGGGGCAAGTGGAATGAGGAGTGATTGGTGGAATGATGAAGTAAAGGGTGTGATAAAAGAGAAAAAGTTAGCTTATGAGAGGTTTTTACAAAGCAGAAGTGTTATAAGAAAAGCAGAGTATATGGACAGTAAAAGAAAGGTGAAGAGAGTGGTGAGAGAGTGCAAAAGGAGAGCAGATGATAGAGTGGGAGAGGCACTGTCAAGAAATTTTAATGAAAATAAGAAAATTTTTTGGAGTGAGTTAAACAAGTTAAGAAAGGCTAGGGAAAGTATGGATTTGTCAGTTAAAAACAGAGTAGGGGAATTAGTAGATGGGGAAAGGGAGGTATTAGGTAGATGGCGAGAATATTTTGAGGAACTTTTAAATGTTGAGGAAGAAAGGGAGGCGGTAATTTCATGCACTGGCCAGGGAGGTATACCATCTTTTAGGAGTGAAGAAGAGCAGAATGTAAGTGTGGGGGAGGTACGTGAGGCATTACGTAGAATGAAAGGGGGTAAAGCAGCTGGAACTGATGGGATCATGACAGAAATGTTAAAAGCAGGGGGGATATAGTGTTGGAGTGGTTGGTACTTTGTTTAATAAATGTATGAAAGAGGGGAAGGTACCTAGGGATTGGCGGAGAGCATGTATAGTCCCTTTATATAAAGGGAAAGGGGACAAGAGAGATTGCAAAAATTATAGAATAAGTTTACTGAGTATACCAGGAAAAGTATACGGTAGGGTTATAATTGAAAGAATTAGAGGTAAGACAGAATGTAGGATTGCGGATGAGCAGGGAGGCTTCAGAGTGGGTAGGGGATGTTTAGATCAAGTGTTTACATTGAAGCATATATGTGAACAGTATTTAGATAAAGGTAGGGAAGTTTTTATTGCATTTATGGATTTAGAAAAGGCATATGATAGAGTGGATAGAGGAGCAATGTGGCAGATGTTGCAAGTATATGGAATAGGTGGTAAGTTACTAAATGCTGTTAAGAGTTTTTATGAGGATAGCGAGGCTCAGGTTAGGGTGTGTAGAAGAGAGGGAAAATACTTCCTGGTAAAAGTAGGTCTTAGACAGGGATGTGTAATGTCACCATGGTTGTTTAATATATTTATAGATGGGGTTGTAAAAGAAGTAAATGCTAGGGTGTTCGGAAGAGGGGTGGGGTTAAATTATGGGGAATCAAATTCAAAATGGGAATTGACACAGTTACTTTTTGCTGATGATGCTGTGCTTATGGGAGATTCTAAAGAAAAATTGCAAAGGTTAGTGGATGAGTTTGAGAATGTGTGTAAAGGTAGAAAGTTGAAAGTGAACATAGAAAAGAGTAAGGTGATGAGGGTATCAAATGATTTAGATAAAGAAAAATTGGATATCAAATTGGGGAGGAGTAGTATGGAAGAAGTGAATGTTTTCAGATACTTGGGAGTTGACGTGTCGGCGGATGGATTTATGAAGGATGAGGTTAATCACAGAATTGACGAGGGAAAAAAGGTGAGTGGTGCGTTGAGGTATATGTGGAGTCAAAAAACGTTATCTATGGAGGCAAAGAAGGGAATGTATGAAAGTATAGTAGTACCAACACACTTATATGGATGTGAAGCTTGGGTGGTAAATGCAGCAGCGAGGAGACGGTTGGAGGCAGTGGAGATGTCCAGTCGAAGGGCAATGTGTGGTGTAAATATTATGCAGAAAATTCGGAGTGTGGAAATTAGGAGAAGGTGTGGAGTTAATCAAAGCATTAGTCAGAGGGCAGAAGAGGGGTTGTTGAGGTGGTTTGGTCATTTAGAGAGAATGGATCAAAGTATAATGACATGGAAAGCATATAACTCTATAGGGGAAGGAAGGAGGGGTAGGGGTCGTCCTCGAAAGGGTTGGAAAGAGGGAGTAAAGGAGGTTTTGTAGGCGAGGGGCTTGGACTTCCAGCAAGCGTGCATGAGTGTGTTACATAGGAGTGAATGGAGACGAATGATACTTGGGACCTGACGATCTGTTCGAGTGTGAGCAGGGTAATATTTAGTGAAGGGATTCAGGGAAACCAGTTATTTTCATATAGTCGGACTCGAGTCCTGGAAATGGGAAGTATAATGCCTGCACTTTAAAGGAGGGGTTTGGGATATTGGGTATGGTTTGTTTGCAATCGTGTCATTACGATTTCTTGAGTCATGTTGACGGCAGTGAAGGGACTCGAGCTAGAGTTCGTCACGGCCACGCTAGCTGGAGATTCGTCTGTAAAAACTTGCATTTGTGGTCACAGTGGTGCCTGTGCTAACCTTCCTATGGTGTAGAAATATACCTAGTTGGAAGAATCTTATTATGGCTAGCTGGTCTAGTGGCTAACGTGACGGGCTGGAGTTTTGAGACTATGACCGCGGGTTCAATCCCGGGCGGGGGTATGGGATATTGGCAGTTTGGAGGGATATGTTGTGTATCTTTATACGTATATGCTTCTAAATTGTTGTATTCTGGGCACCTCTGCAAAAACAGTGATAATGTGTGAGTGTGGTGAAAGTGTTGAATGATGAAAGTATTTTCTTTTTGGGGATTTTTTCTTTTTTGGGTCACCCTGCCTCGGTGGGAGACGGCCGACTTGTTGAAAAGAAAAAAAAAAAAAAAAAAACTTGCATATACAGTACTGATGACAATAAATCATTTGACACAGCATGAATATACATAACCTATGAATGAACACCTAAAACTGTCACTGAAACAACTGGCTATCTGAAGGTTCTTTGGCTAAAGATGTTTATTCTTAAATTTTCTAGTTATTCTGCATATAAGTTATGAATTTACAGAACTTTCCAACTGAAGATTTTAAGACTAATTTACTAATCTACTCAAGAATAATAGACCTTTACCACCCATTATCTATTTACACACTATGAACCAAAATGGCAGCTATGCCATATTACACTGTATTGGGAAAAATGCTGAAAAAGAATTAATGTATTAAAATACAGTGGACCCCCGCATAACGATGGCATCACATAGCGATTTTTCCGCATACCGATTACTTTTATCGCAAAATTTTTGCCGCGCATACCGATTAAAAACCCGCTTACCGATTTTCGTCCGAGACGCGTCCAATGTGCCCTCAGCCAGCCTCACATGTGCCGCCCGTCCCATTGTTTACCAGCCAGCCTCCGCGGTAACATCCAAGCATACACTCGGAATATTTCGTATTATTACAGTGTTTTCGGTGCTGTTTCTGGAAAATAAGTGACCATGGGCCCCAAGAAAGCTTCTAGTGCCAACCCTGTGGTAAAAAGGGTGAGAATTAGTATGGAAATTAAGAAAGATTTTGAAGGGTTTGGGGCTAACCCTGAGAAGCCTATGCCAGTTGTGGAATCCATTGTGCCTACTTCAAAGATTTAGGAAAT